AGCCTCCTCCATCAAGGCTGGTATTGCCATTATTTCCTTATGTTCAATTCATTTCTCTTCAAATTTCCTTATATTCTCACCCCTCTTTATGTTGGAGTACCATTAGACTCAAAAATCAGTTTTATATTCATATTAAAGTAAACAATGGAAGTTCAAGTATCATGAACTTTCAACTTCAATTTGAGATTCATTTTTTTAGGAATCAAGATAGTAATAAAATTGGGATAAGTGCTTGATTTTTTTGGAATTAAGAGTAAAATCACGATGATCTGCTCATATAAAATAATCTATTATATTGATAAATATTATAAAGATTTGTTCTTTCCCTCTGGTTAGAGAATATGTGGTTAACATGTACATGAAACAAGTTTGATCTTTTGTAATTGATGCTAGAAAAATTGAAAAAAGTATGGAAGGATGATGGCAACGATTGCTCAGCGATTAACCTGAAATTGTAATTGAGTGATGACAATTGGACAACAATGGGCATGTGATAAAGAATGAGCGAATACATACATCACAACACTCGATTAAAACATATTAGGAAATATTAGTTAGAAAATAATGATTAGTCAACAATGATCTGGAAACAAAAAGAGAATTGAAATAGACGATCTACAATGTTTGAGCAAAGAAAACCCAATAACATCAATCATGCATTAAAAAATTTCTAACAATAATCATCAGAATTATGTAATCAAATTCTTAATGTTTTTAATACCTTTATGTATGAAGAATAAATATAATTTTTTTATTGATACTTTGATAATATAAGAAAAATTTTACAAGTACTCTCTGAGAAGGTCCAAATTTATTTCATTTAATTATTAGTTATTCATGTAATATTTAAGTGTTTTAATAAGTTTAAAATTAAATGATGATAAACTCTTTAGATCTTCCAATCAAGTTATTTTCTTAACTTTAAATATGTAAAAAATTAAAGATCCTTTAGTTTTTTAGTTAATGTCATTAAGTTTATAATTCGAGCATTATTGAAGATTCAAGCTCAATTAAGTAACTTTCTTACATAATTTATTAATCTCGTCATTTAATTACTTGCTAATTATTTGTTTTCTAATTAAATTAAACATAAAAAGATCATCATTTCCTCAAGTAATTCCACCTCCTTATGATCTACTTTAAACATTATGAATTTATTTCATCGAAATTTAGGGTATGTTTGGGGCAGCTGCAGCTTATTGAATAATCTACTGATAAGCTGATTAATAATAATCTGCTGATAAACGCTGATAACCTAGGTGCAGTGGCTATTACAAATTTTTATTTTTTTGGAAAAGTCAGACCGCTATTAGAAAGCTGCCACCACACATAGATAAGTGTGTTGTGAAAACGCTGTTTTCAGCGTTTTGAAAACGCATAAGCTGTCAAAATACAGTTTTCCCAAACAGACCAGGTGCGTTTTCAAAACACCACCGCAACAAATAAGCTGCCCCAAACAGACCCTTAATCTGATTCATAGTAGAAATTTTTTTTTCTTTCTCATACAGTTTATTTGGATAAACAATTTAGCCATTTGTAGAGAAATTTGATTAAAAAAATTTATTAATATATTATTTTTCCAGTACATAATATGTATAACACCGTAATTCTATTTACAGTTTGTTTGAAGGAATTTTGTCGGTCAACAAAGCTCCTTCAAAAGTCAAATCCGTGAATCGAACATTATCAGCTGCAATCTAAAATTGTGAAAATTTTTTGTTATATTGAAATAACTTCAAAAGATATTGTTTTACGAAACGAAATAAATCAACATGTCAACATTCATTGCATCAGAACAGAATTTCACTGTCGCATCAAACTCGACCTTAAGCAAAAATTATCTTTACCACTTTCTCATCAAACTGAATTGAAGAAAATCTTCATTTACTCAATAACTCTACCTCTTTTTATGATCCATTTTACTCAATAACTCTACCTCTTTTTATGATCCATTTTAAACATTACGAATTTATTTCACTGGAATTTAATCTGCTTTATAGCATAATTTCTTTTCCTTGTGATACAATTTATTTTGATAAAAAAATTAGCAATTTTTAGAAGAATTAGATTAAAATAAAATTTTAAAATAGAATATTTTTCAAGCAAATAAAATGAGTAGCATCGGGATTCTATGTAGGGCCTGTTTGAAAGAGTTTTGAGTTCCACAAAGCTTCTTTAAAAGACAAATCTGCAGATCAGACATTATCAGTTGCAATATAAAATTGCGAAAATTTTTTGTTCATACCAAACAAAATAAATCCACACGTCAGCCAGCATTCACTGCACAGGAACATAATTTCACTGTCTTCTCAAACTAGACCTTATGTAAAAATTATCTCTACCTCTTTCGAACTAAATTGAATTCAAGATAATCCTCATTTCCTCATATAGCTCTACCTCTTTATGATTCATTTTAAACATTACGAATTTATTTCATTGGATTTTAACCTGTTTTATGGGAAAAAATATATTTTCTTCTGATACAATTTATTTGGATGAAAATTTTAGCCATTTTTAGAGGAATTTGATTAAAGAAACTTATGAATAGATTATTTTTCTAGCAAATAATATGTGCAGCACCACAATTCTATTTAGGGCTCATTTGAAGGAATTTTGTTTCAATAAAACACTTTTAAAAGTGAAATCTTCATCAGGTGCAATGTAAAATTGTTAAAAGTTTTTATTTCGTTGAAACAACTTCAGTAGATATTATTTTACCAAACAAAATAAATCCACATGTCAGCATTCACTGCACCAGAACATAATTTTACTGTCTTCTAAAACTAGATCTTATGCAAAAATTATCTCTACCACTTTCCAATTATACTGAACGGAAGAAAATTTTTATACGTCTTCATGACATATTTTAAACATTAAGAATTTATTTCATTGAATTTAATCTCCTTCAGAACAAAAATTTTTTTACTTCTGATAATAATTTATTTGGATAAACATTTTAACTATTTTTAGAATAATTTGATTAAAAAAACATGTAAATAGATTATTTTTCCAGCAAATAAATATGGGTCGCACCATAATTCTATTTATGACACGTTTGAAGGAGTTTTACCGTTCAACAAAGCTCTTTAAAAGTTAAATCTATAAATCGGGCATCCAGAATACTATTTTACAAAACAAAATAAATCCACATGCTAGTGCAATGGAACAAAATTTCACTATCTTCTCAAACTCGACCTAACACAAATTTCCAAAAACAATCATAACATCTTGAGTTGTTCTCTTTGGAGTAAAAGAGAAAAAATGAGAGTTAGGGTTCGTTTGGGGCAGCTTATAAGTGAGGGCGGCGTTTTCAAAACGTCACAATATCGTTTTGTTCGCATGTTTCGCCAGCTTATCCGAAACTGCATTTGAGTTTTTACACTAAACGCAGGCCGCGAGTCAACCTCTGCGGCCGGCCCGCAGGCCGCGTTTCAGGATAAGCAGCTCATCCTGAAACGCACAAGCTGTCCCAAATGGACCATTAATCTCTTCGGTGGATTTAAAATAAATGTTTATAGTATCCAAATTACTGCATTTGAAATGAGATTTAAATTTTTTTTTTTGGAAGAAAATAAAATAAAAAAAAATTTATTTATTGATAAAAAAAAGCATAGTTTTCTATTTTATTAAATTAACTTTAATTGTTTTTTGAAAAATAATAGAAAAAATAAAAAAAATGTGATTAAGATTAACTTCTAAAAATTCCTGTAAAAACTCATTAAAAAAAAGGAAGATTTAATTATTTTTATAAATACAATAAATGAACATTAAATTAACGTTGCAATTTACATAACAAAACTCATAACGATAAACTAACATTTAACTTAAACTAAGATTAATTAATAATACTAACACTTAATTTAATTTAATGGGATCTCAATTAAGAAATCCCTACAAAAATTAGAGTATGCTGCTTTATGTAACGAGCACACGGTATTCTTTAGTAAAAGGCGAAAGAATAGTTCGCTCTGTGCTCATTACGCAGCTGCTTGATTTTTCCGGACCGCAATGCCTTCAATTTATACGCAAAGGACGCTGCTTAAAAAGACATTCGGCGATGTGGGACTAACAGAACGATTTTGGACTGCTATTTCTATATGGACAGTTACCGCCAAAAACTCTATTCGGAGATCCACTTACTTTATCAAGCTACAATAACTCTATTTATATCAATAAATTGAAAAAAGCAAGATATTTCAAATAAAATTTTTGATAAATTTTAAAATCACATAATTGTTATTAAGGTAGTGAAATTTGTTTTATTCCTATGATATAAATTCCAATGCGGCTAATAATATAATTATGTCTATTTACTTATTTAATTATACTTAGAGATAATATGCAAGGTAATGTATAAAATAAGAGATTCGTGTAAATAAATATAAATATATACCAAAAATAAATAAATTGCAGGAGCCCAACTTATAAATAAGTAGAAATAAGTGATTTTTAAGAATTTATATTATATTAATTTCAAAATAAATTGAATAATTCAAAATTTTATATATATATATATATATATATAATTTTGAAAAGTATATATATATATATATATATGTGGTAAAAATGCATTCAAGCAATTATTTACTCCCAAACTGTTGATGTTAACAACTTCCTCACTAATTCTGTTAGGAGGTACAACTAAATATTGATTGATAGAGAAAGCCTTTTAATTAGAATTGTACATTTCACATATCTATAAATAGATGACCATACTGTGTGGTTTTTTCCTCTGCGAACTTTAACACCTTACTTTCTCTTCTTTGGTATTCAAGAATATTTGTGCTCGAGCTTCTCCTGGCCACTCCTTTACATTTTAGGGCCTCTTCTAAACTCGAGCTCTGCTTCCTAGAGTTTAACCAAAGAGTTTGAAGTTCTCTAATATTTGATTCAGCTGATTTATTTAATATGGTTCGGTCTGGTTCACATGGTATCATAGCTTGCTTAAAGGTACATTCCTTCTCCTTCAAAATTCTATTAAAGATCAATGCTTTTTCTTCTTTATTCTTCAATCTTCTCTCTCACAAGAACCTATTCAAAACAACACTGATTAGTTCTTGAATAGAATAATGGATACCCAATCACAAACTAGCAATATCAACTCATCTCAGACTTCACCAATTCAAATGATATCACCTTCGTAGAATTTCTTGCTCAATAATATCAAAGTTCTGGCATCAAATTCTCTAATATCTAGAAACTTTCTAATTCATTGAAATGATGAGGGACGACATATTCATAATATTGAATACAATCTATAGAAAAAAATAGATCAAAATATGTCTGTCGAATTATGCTCTATCATTTCACATAACATCTTAACTTATATTTTTCAACTTCAAATCACTGTAGTCATCAAACATATCAAGGGTAATTTTGAATAACGACAACGTGACTCTATACCTTACTGAATCCAAGAATATAGTAGATCAAATTACGAATGCTGGCTCGATAGTTGATTCAAGGATATCATACTTTACATATTAAATGTCTTGCCTCCAACCTACAACTCATTTAAAATAGCTATACGTACCAAGCATACTCCTATACATTTGGATGATCTATATTCACTATTGTTCAGTGAAGAGGTGAATATTTGAACAAATATGAAAAAGAATAATCAACAAATCGAATGGCATATGTATCCAATAAAGGTAAGCAAAAAAATTGCAAAGGCAATGACAAACCTCCATTTAATCAACTCTAGAAATAAAACTATCCACCAACCAAAACTAACTCATCGAAGATACTCACGTAACAATAATAATAATGAATAGATACTTGATATTGGAGCAACTTCACAGATTGCTCATTCCATTGCAAATATACAACAACCTCAACCATATACAAGTGATGAGTTGGCTACTATAAGAGATAGGAAATCAGTCACAATATCTCATACATAAAAAGATTCTTACCAACAATTATCCTACAACCACTTATATGTCCATAAATTAGCCATAGATAACAATTGCATAATATCTTTTGATTTTATTGGCTATCATATTGAGGACAAGAACATTTTTCAATCATTTCATGATGGATGTAGCACCAAAAGATTATACAAAATAAAGCAACTGAAAGCACTTCATATGGTGGTGGGGTCATCTACACGACATATGAGGCAAGTTCACCCTCGCAAGGATATTATCCAAATAATCTTCAAGAAGCATCATTAGTTAGATGTTCCAATATTTTCAAATAAATGTATCTCATGTATTTCGTTTAAGAGGCATAGGCTTCCATTTACAGGAAATAGCAAAACTATCACTAGTCCTTTCCAACTCATCCATTCAGATGTTTGGGAAACATCACCAGTATTATCTTTTGATAATTACAAGTACTATGTATTATTCAAAGATGATTGCACAAGATATAACAAAAATATATCCAATGGCACACAATAGTAAAGTGCTTTCCAAGTTTCTTTTATCTCACAAAATGGTTTAAACTAGATTCAATGTCAACATTAAAAAATTGAAATCAAACAATGGAGGAGAATTTACATCATACGCTTTCAAAATACAACTAATCAAAATAAGAATTAAGCAACATCTAAGTTGCCCTTATACTCCAAAACAAAATGACATAGTAGAAAGAAAGCACATGCATATAGTTGAAATAATGCACACTCTTATTCTAGAATCACATCTTCCCCACAAAATTTGGTTGGATACATCAATCAAATATGTTTATCTAATAAATATACTACCATTAAAAATAAGTCACTCTTCCAACAGTTGTATAAAAAACAACTTAAATATGATTATACAAGACTATTTGGAATATTATAATTTTTCTTGCAATAATCGCAACCATGAATTAAATTGCATCCCAAAATTTCACCACGTGCTTTCATAAGACATTCCACTTTGCACAAATGATACAAATGTTTTTCATAAAATAATTGGACAAATATATAACGCAGAGCTCATTGTATTTAATGAGTTCTAGTTCCCATATAAAACATATACTCATTTATTAACACCCACCACATCTAACTCTCATCCCAACCCAAACCATAGCTCAACTATAACTCAAATACAACCCACTCAAACAACACAAAACAACACACTCGACTGCAAATCCCATTCACATACACACTGCTTCCAAAGATAATAAAACCATAGTTCAGCCCATCACAGTGCATATACCCAACACAAATATAAAAAATAGCATGACAAGCAGAGGTTAGCAAGCCTAAGAAGATTACAAATCTAAATTATCAAATACAACAAACAGCCCATTGTTATTCTTAGGTAGTCAAATTGTCATAATGGAGATATTTTATTCCACATTAATTCTCAGCTTTTCGAAAGCAGAGCAAATAGGAACTTTTCCCACCACCCAAAAACCAAATAGTACAAGAGCTTGAATGGACATTTAAAATAAAATATCATTGAAACTTGTTGCACAAGGGTTTAATTAAGAATTTGACATAAATTACATTGAAAATTTAAGCTCTGTAACAAATATTGCAACCATACAAGCTTTACTTACATTTGCACATCTCCAAAACTAGAAAATATATAAGCTAGATGTTTCCAATGCTTTTGTTCGTGGTCATCCAGATTATATAGTCTATATGAAGCAGCCATTGGGATATCAAGGTGTTGTTTATCCAATGTATGCTTGATAATTAAGAAAAGTTCTATTCTCTAAAACAAGCCCCTAGGCCGAGGTTTTCAACATTCTCAAGACACCTCAAAGAGATTAGATTACAACAAAGTACAACAAATTCCTTTCTATTTCTCCACAAGAATGAAGACAAACATTATTTCTTTTTAATGTATGTTGATGATACTTTAACCATTGTAAATGACAACATATATATCAACTATCTAATTCAAAGTTTACACCAACAATATATATATGCACCGTGTTACCAGCTCAATTGGTAAAGCACCCATTTTGGCAGTGTAAGTCTCCTATGGACTGTAGTTCGAATCCCCCCAGGCAAGATGTCTACTATATGGGGGTGGTACTCGAGTGGTCAGGCGCGTGGTCGGTGGTTCCGCCCGTCAACCATCTTCTAATATATATATAAACATTTCTAGGTATTCAAGTTAAAAAAACACGAGCATGTATATCATTGAATCAATCACAATATATCATCAAATTTGTGTAGGGATGAAAAATTGTAAAAGCATTCAAATTCCCATATCTAAGCCAAGCAATCCAAACACGAAAATGTCAACCCTGAAATTTGAGATTTCTCTATATAAATACTAAAATTTAATAATATTTTTCTTATGTAGTTTAGTTAATTTAATAATTTTTTCCCCTTTCGATATATTATTTTGTCCAATACATAAAAAAAAAATTATTTAATGATTTTGCCTACCCTAAAAGATAAAGTTGGTTGGTCCCTTATCTTGTATAATGTATTGCATACACAACAACATGATAATATTATTATTATTTATTTTTTTTCTTAATATAGCCATTTTTGTAACCACTCATGGGTAGACACAACACAATATTATAAATGTGGGGCCATTCACGGGATGGGAGACCTTTTTCTGTGGTTGCTAAAGGATTAGAGATGATAGGAAGCATTTCTTCTTTCATCTCCATCTTCATACTAATATTTTCCATTTTTTCATTTTTCTTTTATACAATATGTTAATTGTCCCACTTTTATACAATATGTTAATTGCCCCATTTCGAGCCGATTTTCGAGCCATCGGCTCGTGGCTCGTTATATTGGATTTTGAGCCGAGCAGGCTTGAAATTCAATCGAACTTGATCTGGTTCTAAATCGAAACGAGCTGGATCAAATTTAGGCTCTGTTTGGCGCAGCTGCAGCTGTGCTGCGCCAGGAAACTGCTGTGGGGAAGTTGCTACCTGGAAGCTGGCTGCATGTTTAGGGCAGCTGTGTGAAACAAATGTGTGACAGCTGTTTCTGTAAAAAAATGATCATTCTATTTCTGTTTTGTGATGTTATGTGTAACAACAATGTGATAGCCATAAATTTAATACTTTTAAAGCAAAAACTAAAAATTGTTCATGCTATGATATGAAAGATTTGGCTTTTTATAAAGCATTCAAATTCATCCTCATTTTCAACATAAATCCACTTTTTAAGCCTCCTCTTCCTCAAATTAATTGAGACCATAATGTGGCACACAACAACGACAACAACAACAGGAAAAAATGATTTCACAATTCATAATTTACTAGCGATTGATCTTTTCATTTATGCATTATATTACACCACCACAAACCTCCCCTTTTCTTGAGCTAATTCGTAGATTGTGCTTTTGTTCCCATCAAATAGGCAATGAAGTCAAGAGTTAATTAGGTTTCTTCAAAATTTCAGGTTCTTAACAGGCCTATAACAAAATTAAATAAGGTAATAAAAACTTTAATTTATTCAAAAAAGTGAAAAAAAAGACTTCATTTTGAGTAATTAGTACTCATAAAATCCACCCAATTAACAAAACAATGATAAAATTCAGGGAAAAATCAAGAGTTCAGGAAACTTAACATCCTTGACCAAAGGGCCGCATTCTTGATAATGAATAGTTGATCCTTCTCCATCGTTCAAAGCATTCTCTATGTACCGAAGAGAGATGAGTTGGTCGGCACAGTGCCGTCACAGTGCCATCATAGAGCACAACGAGCTCATCGATGGCGCGGGTGATCTCTTCTCTCTTCGAGAGGTTTGTTTGGGTCAGTAGACCTCTCTCCTGGCTCGATATGGGACGCAAGAGATCAGCTTTTGCACCGAGAGAATCAACTGAGGTTACAGTTTGAGAGGGAGAAGCTGAGCAGAAGGCGGGGTAGAGGCGTCAGATGATGAGAAGTTTAGTTTAGGAAGGACGAACGAGAGAAGGAAGCGGGAAGGAGCAGAACTTTCTTTGGCATAACAACCCGAACGGTCGGATCTTCGATCGAAAGGGCAATGGGTAAAAACAGAATCGCAGAACGCGGGCCGCGGGGTTGATTCTGCGGCCTGCTTTTTGCGAAAAAATCGTCTGCGATGTCGTGACGCTTCTCTGTCGCTTCCCGAAACTCTACACTTCAACGGTGGGGTGCCGCGAAGCCCTCCAGCCGCGCCCCCAAACGGAGCCTTTATTTGGATCTCATTCAACTCAAAAACGGCTTGATTCAACTCAAAATTGAAACTAACTGGCTCAAATTGAATTGTTTGGATTTGTTCTTGCTCGAAACTAGCATGTGATTGTTGTGTTTAATTTAGCTTTGCATTATATATATAATTGTTATAATTAAGAACATATTACAAGTCCATCACTAATTAGTCGAAGCGAATTCATGTATGAGTCGGAATCAGCTAAAAAAAATTCTATTCAAAGTTTCGGCTCATTTGTTTCAATCCGATCTCAATCAAAATAAGAAAATTAAATTGATTTTCTAACAATTAACAATCATCGAGCTAAATTAACATCTTAAGATTTAAGTGATATAAATATAGAAATAGAGCTTCCATATTATAAATGCATAAGAATAGGGTAGTAGATGACTAAATTTCCCTAAAGTTGTCATAAGATGGGTATATAATTTTAAAATAAATTCAATTGTTACAAATTTTTATCATGATAAAAAAATTGATCAAGATATCTTGGAGTGTTTTTAATTTAAAGTTGTCGCGATGGTGACATGTACATTGAATAAATGTCAATTATTGCATCACTTTTGTCCGCACTCCGCAGTGATTTCTTAAAAGTAAATTCTCTTTAATTTGAGCATGTGTTCTTTTTAAAACGCATGATGTTGTTACAAGAATTTTTTATACTAAGAGATGTTGATATATCATCTTATCTATACACAAAAATATATATTGTATTTTTTAAGAGTCAAAATTTTTTAACATCAAATAATAAAGCAGAGAGAGAGAGAGAGAGAGAGAGAGAGCCCTGTTTATAGGTAAATGGGCATAAAGTGTACAATTAGATATTTACTCCTAGTTTGTGTGGAGATTTTATATGGTATTTTAGGTATCAAAAATAAATGAGTCTATGGCTCGCTACCCTATCACTTGACCGACTGAGCCGGTGGTCCTTAGGTGGTCAAGGCCAGTTTGGATGACTTTGCTTAGTTGGGGCAGATTGTATGCTATGGTTGTCTTTTGGTCGTTCGGGCTTTGCTCGACCGGCTTGAGTCAACCGGTGGGTTTTCTTATTTCGATAGTCAACCCTCAGATGAGAAGCTCATTTCCCCACGATGAGATTAGACTGTCAAGTAGAGAGTGAATCACCATAATTAACAGGTAGCTTACCCCTTGATAGGAGATCCATCTGGAGTGCATATGAAATGTGTAGAGATAAGAACCTCAGGACTTCTAAAGAGTTTTGAGGACTTCAGAGGCAGCTGTCGGTGTTGGTATAAGAGTTGGATTGATGCATTGTCTTGGTTTGATGTTCTTGATCTTTGGCTTGACCGATCTTTGTTCAGACTACTTCAGATCCTGCTCCAAGGGAGCTATAGCTATTCAATCAGGTCTTTTAGGCTCCGTTTGGGGCCGCTTTTTTGCGGCTT